GCTCCATGACAGGTTGGTGTCAACAGCCGGAACACGCATTCGACCCTGCGTCAAACCTAGGCGAACCATGTCTTCCCCAAACACTCAGAGGAACTCTGACGTTGGTGTCGACGTCCACTGTAGCCCACTAGACAGTCTTTCAAGATCTTGACCCAAGCCTTGCTTCTTCTTTGACATCCCGCCTGCATTGCATCTACAACCTAAACCGGTGTACAATCTGACAGAATGCTGCACAACTCTTCGTTCAATTCCGGGGCGCCGCCCACATATTCACCCACAGCTAGGGGCGACCGCCGTGGTGGTGGCGAACCTGGCCAGGATGCTTTTCTGATGCTTGTTGTGGTAGGGTCCAAGGCGTTTAGGGCTTCAGGAGTTGGTGTTTAAGCGAAGGCTCTTCTTCCCTCTCGCATTGCTTGGAAGTCGATGCCCGCGCCTTAGCCTAAGGTGTAGGGTTTCAGCACATTGGGCTGAAGGGTTGGGCGCCCAGGCTTTATGGTTTCGACAAAACCCCCTCCCGAAACACCGAAGTACACAGAAGACAAGCTGAGATCAAGTTCGTTGTTCCGTCTCGAAACCGAAGCATCGTACAAGCCCAGAGACTGGGTGAGTTCGGTCGGAGCGTTCGACTTGTACGGGACCTCTTGAAATTCCTGGAAAGCCCTTTGAAGAACACCATCGAACCGCTTATAACTATCCTTACAAGACGCCCTTCCCCAAAGTCCGCTCTGCTTCGCGTGTGCAACCCCTAGGGCTCCAGTTACCTAAATAGTAGGTTACTGGGGTATATAATATATGGTTAGTAACCTACTATTTGGGCGGTTATCAAAATTGCGCTCCCTTTTTGGTCCCTATTATAGTACGGCACCTAATATTTAGGGTACCCAAAAAGGAGCCCTAATTTTGACAACCACCCATTTAGGTAACTGGAGCCCAAGCAACTGTCACAACTCCCTGCCTCGGCCGCGAGCCACGCAGAGGTCGGAAAGGCATCGGCTCAACTCCTGGTCTCTGAAGTCAGAGAGCCCAATACCCCTTAACTAAGGATATGACTTAAATTATACATGATTTAAGCTATATTGTTGCTTAATTAAGGGGTACTGGGCTTTCTGGGAAGTCACGAACTGATCGTAAATGGTGTCGGGCTGAGGAAGGTTGCGGGTTTGGGGGCTAAAGGTTTTCGGGGGTTCTCCCAGGGTTGGGGTCTTGTAGAGATTCTAGAGGAGTTGTAAAGAATTTTTGTTTGACTTTAAAATGTAGGGTTTATGGAAAAAGTGATTTCGGGCTTTGAGGGTTCAGGTTAAGGGATTGCTTAAGGTTGGCCATAACATAACTCCGAAACCTTTCAGGGGTCCTGGGATGTCCTGAGTTTAGGGGACTACGGATGACAGGTCTCAGCATTTGGGACCTGTGACGATGCAGAGCTCTTTTCGCCAACAACCCATAATCCCAGAACTCCTAAAGCGCCTAGACTTCTGGAATCCACACCTCCGAGACCCCAAGCTCTAAAACTGATCAGAACATGAAAAAACGCAAACTCCTAATCAAAATTTCAACCTTACCCAGAAAGCCAAACAGCGGAACGCCTAAAAAACCCAAAATCCTAGCAAGCTAAACCCTATACCCTGAAACTTAACGCTGAACTTCCAAGCTCAGAAGCAGACTCCCACATTTCTACCTACCCCCTAAAACAGCAAACGCCCAAGTTCATGTGCCAAAGATCAAAGCCCAATCTCCTAGCAAGCTAAACTCCCAAACTCCTAAACGCCGAAACTCCTCCATCGCCCAAAATCCGAAAAACCGAGGCTTCCAACCCCAAAACACTCATAAAGAATACCCCCCAAGCTTATCGAAACCCCAGTCCAAAACCCCAAACCCCTAACCCCTTAACCCCTTTTTAAGCACGGACTTGCAGTGCATGAACCCTAAGCCCCTAAACCCCCTAGAGGCCCGATAACATCGATAACTCAAGAGCGCCAAAGCACCGGCAGCATTGAGCTGTCGCAGGGCCGCTGCAGGCGCTCTACGAGGCGAGCCTTTGGGGGCTGTCTCGGCTGACAAAGGTTCCTTTAAGGGATCTATATGGGGTTTAATTATAGGGGTTCTTGTCTCGGGGTTTATCTTAGGTTGGCCCTTTAAGGACTTTAGGGTTTAGGGGATTAGTGGTTTGCGGGTTCAGGATGTTGCTAGGTCTCTTGATCCTGACGCAGGTTCCTTTAAGGGATCTATATGGGGTCTATAAGGGTTCTATAAGGGCTGCATCGGGAGTTATACCAGGTTGGCCCGTTAAGGGTTTAGGCGTTTAGGGCTCAGGGGTTGGGGATTTGGGGTTTAGGGGTGTCGGGGTTTAGGATTTAGGGGTTTCCGGTTTAGGGTTCAGATCTGATTTACAAGTGCCCTTGCTTCAAATCAAGATTATTCAAGAACAGAATATTCAGCAACAGACGGCCCAGAGTCTTAAATCCCAAACCGCTGAGTTCCCGCTCTACACCTAAACTCTGAACCTAGACATTTCTGGGCAAGTGATGTGCTGATGGGTCTTCAGGTTTGGGATGAAAGTCTTGGGATTCCGTGGATTCGTGGGGTTTGATCGGAGGCCAAAAGGGGGGTTTAAGATTCTTGGGGTAGGGATTCCTTAATATGAACCCTATTATGGAAACCCCTCTCCCTACTAAACCCCCCATAAGCTAAAACCCCTTTTGGCCTCCTGTGGGGGTTGAGGCCGGCATTGCATGTAAACGATGCGACGGCGACTCTTCCTTCGCTGAACCTTTACCCGAAGGCCCTCTGCCTTAACATCCAACTTTTGTAGCGTCCCAAAAAAGTCCATATTGGAGTGTATGATAAGAACTTACAGAAAGTCGGTTACGGTAGCTGAATGTGAACTCTAGCCCAAACCCAACACCCTAAGCCCCCGCTCTAGACCCCAACCTAAAATCACCCCTCTGCCCCGCCATGTACATCCCTGCCACACCCAAGGCCGTGAAACCCTCCTCTAGACTACAACTATACCCAAAACCCTTATCATCCCACAAAGACCGCTTCAGTTAAAGCTCCATAAAAGGCCTTATACCCTGCGCGGACAGCCCCAGCCTCTGCTTTGGGGCTGTCGGGCAGCATGGCGAAGTGTAGGCGCGAAATGGCAGGTGGGGGAATGCTCGGGATTTAAGGCTCTCTCATCTGCCTCCAAAACTGTTACATGGGAGGGAGGCTTTAGGAAAATCTTGCCAGAATTACTTAATTATGCAATGTACTCCGCACGATAGATGCCCTGGATTAAGCCCTGGACAACCAGCAAGGTCCGAAAACATAAGTAGGCTCTAGTCTATGCCCCAACTCTGATGAAGGATACAAGGGCCTGGGCTTCAAGACTACAACCAGCAATGACCGAACGAGGCACTTAAGACCTGACAAGCCCTATCACCTCCATGATGCATACATGAACTGATGGACCAATTGATTGGGCTGCCCCCTTGTGCACCCGCCCCCGTCCCCCTTGCCCGAGCCGGCAGCATGCGCAGAACACGCATCCGACATGGTCGAGCTGCGAAATCCTACACAGTGAATGTAGCGCCTGACAATGAACCGAAAGCCTAAACCCAAATCTAACCTCGAGGTCACTCGAAGTCCCAGTGCCTAAGGCACTGGATTCAGACATCATCCGAACAACTTGACTCCAAATGTCATACTGGTTGCATCTCTACTACAATTGTCAGGAACTGGGACGTTGGAGGCTCGGGAAACCCTAAAACCTTAAACTCCTACATGCAAAACCCCATGCTCCCGAGGCGACTACAAAAGTTGGAAAATGGATTTAGGATGATTATCGCTGGGATTGCTTATACTTTGCCTTAAAGGCCTGAAGATACCGATGTTCCAACTTTCTGGATTCCACTATACAGTACATGCACGTCCTGAAGCCCTCGCCTGTTTTCGCGCGTTGCGGTCACGACCGGTGGGCACCCTGTCGGTCGAGCTCCCCCTCCCCAAGCACTGCACACGGTGCAGTGCAGCGTGTCCCGTGTCATTCAGGGCAGATGGCTCAGGGTTTAGGGTTTAACAAGATCAACATGGCTAACTTCTGACCCTCCTAAACGCTCAACTTGTCACCTCTTTGTTATGGCTCACATACAAACCCAAAATGCGAAAGACCTAAGAGCCAACCAGAAGAACGCCAAGTCAAGACTAAGAGGCTCTTCTTCAATCGTTGGCGCAACTTATTACATAACATTTGATGTCCGCCACTCCGAGAACCATGTCAATGACGTATACACAGGTTCACATATACATATACATCCAAGCATCCGCAAGGTCCTATCTCAACTCAGAACTGCGGGTATTAAGTATTCCTTGAATTGAAAGAGAGCCTCGAGGCTTTAGGGGCCTATGTTGAGGGTTCAGGGCCTACCTAGACCCTGCAAAACCTACCTTTTGGGGGGGATCCTTATAATGATTTCTTTTGGGTTTCGGTATGTTTCGGGTTCAGGTCTAAATCTATGGTTTGGGGCCTCTGTTTCGGGTTTATAGGGCCTTAGTTTGCGGTTTAGGGCTCGGCTTGTGTCAACGAGAACACGCAATTGTGAAAAGTTCTCCTAAGGAGTTGTTTCCCACCTGGAACTGGTGCAAGGAATTCGGCAATCATCTGCAGGAACAGCCGTCTGTCTGGCATAGCAGAATGGCACAACCCGCGACCAGAACCCGAAACCCCTAAACTTTTTTGCATCCAGGCCTCCTGTGGTGTTGCCGGAACCCCTAAACCTTTGCCTGCATTCGGCTGCAAGTTTCAAACAGAACCGACACCCCCCAGCATATCCCGAAAGTCATGTCGTTTAGCGGGGCACTTGCCATGGCACAGGACTGGCAGTAGTATCTTGGAATGCTGTGGTGCAGAGTTTAGTGTCAGGATTTTGGGGTTTGGTTTGGGGTCCTTGGTATCACCGTGTAGCTCGTAGAGTGACCCTCAAGTAACACTTATCAGTGCGACCAGTTCTCTGGCAGGATGCTCAGACGTCTGCCTTCGCATTTTCTTCGGCAGCATCTGCACAGGGTGGTTGAAGCGGCTTCTTCAGTTCTGCTTTGAAGCAACGGCGTCAGATCGTTCTGGCATCAAGACTTCTGCAACGCTTGGGGCATGAAAGGGCGACAACGCTGTGCCACAATCACCTCTGTTCAGACAGCCGAAACCGAAACCGCTTTCACCCTGCTTAAACCCTACACCGATGTGACTTTTCGATTCTGCAGCTGCATGTTTTGCACCCCCCACACTTGTCCCAAACACAGGTTCTTGTCCGATGTTCGGCGTTGAAAAAGATCGTACTTCGATCACAAATTCGCTATTGCTATCAGTGTTGTTGTTTTGATTTTGTTACTGTTATCCTCTTCTTGACAGGGTTCTTGTGCTTTTGAAAATCGGCCGGTGCAGGTGAACTGAGTGCATATATTTGTTCGATAGTGCTTGCCCAGCATAGCATGCATTGCCCCGTACAATTGCCTCCGTGTCATATGTTGCAAACATACCGATGTCAGTTCGTTGAAAGGTTGGGGCCAGGATCGGGTACCTACATGCCAGCCTGAGGTGCACTTGAGAAAGTCCAGAGCCATGAACATTTCAGCATGCTAGGCGCTGCAAACCTGAACTACCATCCTCAGAATCTGCTTGAAGAGGCTCCAAACGATTCAATAAAGGGCGGGCCTGCGCCCTGCACCTGCTCTGTGCAAGACTCTGGCGCTGTCTGCACTGCCGTGGCTCCTGAAGGCTTTTCTCGGCGATGAACGAAAGTTTGTGGCTTGGATATGGGGTCTTACGTTCAGTTCCGGGTCTGGGAGACTCCCATGCAGCAGCCCGCAAATCATACTGTGAGTATCGGAGTTGCAGTTCGCAAGTGGGGCTGTGCGCACGAATAGGTTAACAAAACAAACACAATGACGCCAATCCCTATAGTCCCTAGTCTTAAATGCCTACACACCCTGGACCCAAAACAAGCAGTGGGCCTGCGCTCTCCATGTGCTCTGTGTGAGATTCCGGCGGCATCTCCACTTCCATGGCGCCTGGAGGCTGTGATGTAGCAATTTGGGGTCCGGTGTTTATCCAAATGGCGCTGCATCGATGGCGTTATGTGACATAAGCCTTAGTGTAAGCAGGGTTGAACGCAATTTCACTGCTATGCAGACAATGAACAAGCAAGCGGATGGGTGAACAGATAAACAAGTCCACATGCACATGAACAACACCTAAATTTCAGTACACATCTAGTGAGGCAACCCCAACCTGCCAGCAACTCCGTGCACATCCCACCCGCAAAGTGAAGCCCGAGACCAACACGAATGGTGCGCCTGCATCATCCGCCGGCTCAGCGTTAGACTTCGGTGAGGTCTGCACTTCCGTGGCTGCTGGAGACTGCGGGCTGCCTTCCGTATTGGGACAAATGGCCTTTTGGATTGAGCATAGGGTTTCGCATTGGGGTTTACCTATAGTCTCCATTGTAGTTCCTTTTTGGGGTTACCTTATGGGATCCTTAATATATAATTGGTTAAACCACAAAAAGGAACTACAATGGAGACTATAGGTAGGGTTCAAAGTATACAAGGTCTGTGGTAACCACTGACTACGGAAGCACAAGCCCCTGGGTCTCCAAGAGCCTAAACAAGGAAATCGAAATCGAAGTATCTCGAATCTTTGGCCCGTGCATATAAGCCCATGCAGATAAGATAGACATAATACAGATACACATACTTACATGTACAGATATAGTACTCGTAATGTACATATTATACAGGTTCGCATATACATATTAAACAAATAAATACACAAACAAACAAATAAATAAATTAATATATATATATATATAAAGATATACACATGTAGCAACTCCCCCCTACCACCACCCTTCAGGCGAAACCCGAATCCAACAGACATGTTGGGCCTGCGTCGCCCACTGGCTCTGTGTGAGGTTCCACTGGCGTTTCCACTTCCATGGCGCCTGGAGGATGTGATGAGACGGCAACTTGGCTTGGCCATGTTTAGGATTCAGTGCCCTATAAACCCTGTATCGAGTATCGGGGTTGCACTCGGTCAGCACGGCTCCATGCTATAAGCAGGTGACAGCAACGTCACCGTTAGTCTATAAACGTGTAAACTGATGGATGGACAAAACCTTAGACGAAACAAAGGAACCAATATGCACATGCCACCACCGCACCCCACGACAAATGTAAAGTCCGAAATCAACCACGAATGGTGGGCCTGCGTCGTCCACCGGCTCTGTTTGAGACTTCGGTGAGGTCTGCACTTCTGTGGCTCCTGGAGGCTGCAGGATATCTTCCGTAGTGAGACAGCCGGCAAGTTGGGTTGTACATGGGGTTTGGGACTGGGTGTCGGGCATAGGGCTCAAGGTACACGGGCTGTGGCAAAAACCTTGAGCCCCAAGCATAACCCCTGGACCCCAAGAGCCTCAAACACAAGAAGTAATACATATCGAACCATGTCGCATCTACTACGCTCGTGCATAAACAGATAGCCTCGATACTGGCAAACGCACAGATACAGATACGGAAACCGGGAGACATATAATACTATAAGAAACAGACAGGCGCCGGGCGCAAATGAGAAAAATAGATACCGATGGATGTGCAAAAGCACGTGTCATACTCCGTGAAGCCCACCCCAACCTGCGAGCAACTCCCCCACACCCTCTGTGTGAAGTGCGAATCCAACAGACATGTTGGGCCTGTTTCGCCCACTGGCGCTGTGTGAGGCTCCACTGGCGTCTCCACTTCCATGGCGCCTGGAGGATGTGATGAGACGGCAACTTGGCTTGGCCATGTTTAGGGTTCAGTGCCCTGCAAACCCTGTATCGAGTATCGGGGTTGCACTCGGTCAGCACGGCTCCATGCTATAAGCAGGTGATAGCAACGTCACCGTCAGTCTATAAACATGTAAACGGATGGGTGGACCAACAAACAACATCTGTGGAGAATTATGCACATGAACAAAATGTGAATGTATCTACACACGGCTAAGTGAAGCCACCTCATCATGCCAAGCAGCTGCCCCCTCCCCCACACCCACATGCACTTCAAAGGTGAAGCCCGAAACCAACAAGAATAGTGGCCTGTGTCGTCCACCGGCTCTGTTTGAGACTTCGGTGAAGTCTGCACTTCTGTGGCTCCTGGAGGCAGCAGGCTATCTTCCGTAGTGAGACAATCGGCAGCTTGGGTTGAACTACATACAGGGTTTGCGATTGGGGTGCACATTTCAAGATACACGGTCTGTGGGAAACCCTTGGATCCCAAGAGCCTGAAGGAGGAACCCGATATCGAATGTATAAACCTGGGCAGTAACATGAAAACAGATATTACAGATGTAGATAACGGAAGCGAATACAGATATAGGTGCAGATGTTGCTGCCGAGTATATGGACATGCAAACAACTCCCCACACACCCCAGAGGTGAAACTCGAAACTAACACAAACCGTGGGCCTGCTCCATCCACCTGATCCTCTGGCGGTGTCTGCGCTTCCATGTCTCCTGAAGGCCATTCCAACCCTAAGTAAACTTTAAATCCCGACGCCCTAAGCGCTAAAGAGGAGACGGCAGCGTAGCTTGGCCACAGGCTCTAAGGCCAGCGTTTTAGGTCTAAGGTCCTGTTTAAGCCCTAAAACATTAAGGCCGACAAGCCTCAGTTCTTTTGGGTAAGCCCCAACCCCAACGACTTTAAGCCCCGAGACATACACCGCAAAGCTGAAACATTTGGGCTTAAGATTGTGAGTGGGATAGCAGGATGAATGGTCTCTACTTGCCGAGCTCCAAGCTTAAGCTCGGAGTTCGATGCGGCTCTACCTGGCTACTTGGAGGATCCGGGGACTGAGCATGGAGGGTAAAACGTAAGGTAAGTATCGTATAGTTACTTATATCCCTCCAAATAAAGGAGACTATATCCTTACGTACCATTCTAAAACCATTTGACCGTATAGGTATCGTAGCACCAGAGCGCACAGCTCTTGAAGTCCGTCCCGTCAACGAGACAGGGTTTATGGGGCCTCTACACACTCAACATCCATACTTACACTCAATCCCTGTGCCCTAAATCATAAGACCCTCACTCCCGTAGTCTGAGTTGTTGACCCCAAGTGCTATATCCTGAGCCGAAGTCTCAATCGAAACTTTGGATCAAGTCCAAAATTCGCGGAGGCCTTCCGGCTTCAAAAGGATGGGATCTGACACGTCCACCTGCAGTGGGTTCATTGGGTTTAGGGCTTAAGGTTTAGAGGTTTACGAGTTTTCTCATCCCAAACCTACGCCGAGTGTGGATCCTAGCGTGGGAAACTTTGGCTTGTCGATGGAGGCATATGGGCGGGGAGAGGTTTCGGAATTGAAGTTAGGGAGCCCCTCGTGCAGAGTTGCCGGCGCAGACCGTATCCTTGAGAAACTTGTGGAGTACAAGTGAAAGCTGTTCAATCATGCGGCACAAAGGCAAACTCGGAATTCAGGGCGTATCTTAATGAAACAGGGTTGGGGTGTTGGGTGTCACGGCATGCTAGTATGGGGGTGATGCCGCGATGCCACTCAAATCTGAACCCTAAAGCCCAAGACCCTCAAAACGCAAAAGTCCAAGACTCTACAACTCTGCAGACCCAAAGCTCCCCAAGCCTTAACCTTCAAGGAACATCCCTGAACCCGGCCAAAACACCCCAAAATTCAAACCCTAAAACACAGAATACCCAAAATCAGCTCAACACCCTCAGCTCACGAGTGAACATATGTGGGCACACGCACCTGGATTTTAGCCGTGCTCCTGCCGACACGTTGCACACATATCGAGCTACCACCCAGTTTACAACCATGTCAAAGTTGACTCCTGGCGATGGCACAAAACTTCATTTGACCCGGAACCTACACTCCTTAGGGGAACCCTTAAAGGATCTCTAGAGGAACCCTTGCGAGACCCAAGTTTTTAAACCCTTGAAGGAACGCTTAAAGCAACCCCAAAACGAGCCCTAAAGGGATCCTACTGGGTCCTACTGTTGATGATCTGAATCCCGCATTAACTTAAGGATCCTAGACGAAGGGAGTTATGGTATATTCCTTATTTTGGGTAATGCAGGATGTATACGATCAACCGTAGTTTCGTGAAACAGCCGCCGGCACCCCTGGGGGCTTCTTGCCTCAGCAGCTTTGGCCATGGTCTCCATGGATTCTGCCTGTGGCTGATCTTGATGTTGCCGTTTTCGGACCTACTTGTCGGGTATCATGGAACTAAAGGTTAACCTTCCTGGTTATGTAGGGATTCTACAGGGCCTATACTACCCCAAAAGAAGGTTAAAGGTTACCTACTCTACTGCTGCGAGGAACTGTGTGTGGGTGTAGACACGCATACAAGGAAATATCGAGAGGTACATACATGTATGTGTGTTTATGCCTGCCAAACCTGCCTGCCTGGCTGCCTCCCTGCCTGCTTCTGCATGCCTGCCAACCTATGTACGTACATCCTACATACATGCACTTGTATAATACCAACGAAGCATGCAACTGTGGGAGGCTTTCTTGGGGAGCCTCATGTTCTGAAACTCCCACATGAAGCTTCGAGTAAGTTGCTATAATTCGAAACTCAACCCTGGTGAAGCCCAGAAGCCTTTTGTAGTATATCTTATTAATACAAAGATTTGTGAAAATCCGTTCAATTAAATGTTTAGGGGTTCCAGAAAATCACATGCTGGACTCGCAGATCTCCGCGTAGCTCTGACGGAGTAAACGACGCCGTATAATCTTGTTTGTATCTCACGGGACCACGAACAGTCTGCAGTGCAAGTGTTGTGGTGCCACACTAGACATGTGTGGCGAGAAGCTCAAGCTTCCGTGGTGCTACGAATGTGCACTTCAATTTGAGTCCTCAAACGAGAGTGCGGAGTGGGGCCACTGAACATGTTTTTGAAGAGAACCTACTGGAATATGCAAAAGCTGTACATGAAGACCAGGAAGAGTGAGAGCACAAATCCCAAGCCTGAACTCAAATTCTCGATTGAAGATGTGCCCCCAAACTCAAAATCACCACGATTGAACACCTGACGAGATGACAGATGACAGAGCGCGCGGCTTACATGCAGGCTTCCGCGGCCAAGATGGGCCAAGCGCTCACACAGGGAACATAGAGTGCAGGCATCCTATGTGCGAGCAACTGCGCGCATCTCTGAGGCCTCTGCTGGCTGCAGCATGTCCCTCCATCCCTGCAGAACGAATACTTGGGTCTCAGATGCTCCAACCTATCCTACACTACACTAGAACGAAGATCCTTGTACATAATTAGCACAAGCAGATTCTCCGGAAAAAAGGTTGAATTGAGCAGCAGCAGACTGGGAATGCAGCAAGAGTAGCATTGCAACATGTCATCAGCGGGACATGCTGGCCTATGGTTTGAATACTTTCTACGACCGACGTGACACGATGATCCTACCAGATGGTGCACTGCCTGACTGAGCTGTAGAGCTGCTCGTACAATGTGCGAGGTGCTTGGCTGCTGCAAGACTGAAGCTTCTGAAAGGCAACGGTCCCGACAACCTCCATCAACACACCGCCACGATACAGATATATTCGCCTCAAGCTGAAGTGCCGCAGCAGAAAGACCGGACCTTGAAGCATGAGCTCCACGAAGCCCACAACTCAAACCTATAGCCCAAAGCCCCAAACCTAAGCCAAACTCCGCCTGTAAGTCCTAAGTAAAAACAAGGACCCATAGAAAAAGTAAGACTCTTTGCCAAAACTCCGAAGGTTTACCAGGCCTGTCGGGCTGCGTAGCGATCTGCCTCGCCAGAAGAGTAGAGGTGGTTGGGGTTTACGGTTCAAGGGAGCGACTTTCTCTAGAGTAGGGTACCGGAAGTAGCAAAAAGATTATTGTGTTCAGGGTCCAAGTTAATTAGGTCGCTTGTTTTCGGAAGGGAATAGGGCTGAAAGGTTTCAGGAGTTGGGCATAGAGGATCTGGGACCTGGGACAGTCTTCACGAGAGTTTGGGCGAGGTGAAACCACAGTGCGAGCTTGGGACAAGTCTCGAGGGCCAAGACCCGCAAAAAAGCTTGCAGCCCTGACAATGTAGGAACCTGATTAAGAGACCGTGGGTCTACAACCTCCAAATAGTAGGATTCATATAAGGAACCCGAACAAAGGCCCAACCCTTTCTTAATCAGGTTCCTACATGAACCTTAAACCCCAAAACCGAAGTTGTTTTGTGGAGGCTCTCGGGGTTTCGGGTTTACGTAGTTTGTCCCAAAGTCGTCGCAGTCAGAGTCTGCGAGTTCGCAATCCTGAGTGCGTCAGGGTTCCTTGGTTTAGGGCTTGGGGCACTCCTGAATTGCGCAGGAAACTGCACCCGCACACAAAGCAAAAGAAATCCGCCAGCAGGACTCCATAGATCCCAAAGTCAAGATGTGGGGTTCGTGGTGCTCTGCACTTCCCCGGTGATTTGGCTTTTGCCCCCCTCACCCCCACCCCAAAGTCGCTGCCTGTCTCTTGGCCCAAGTCCGGAAGTTCTTGACATTGCGTGTCTGGGCCTAGAAGAAGGGGCTCAATTCTTGGTTGGGCTGTGGACCTACATTAATGGCTTTAGTATGCTTAAGTTACACATCTGGGAGCTTCAGAGAGTGGCTTCGGTCCTCTAATGAAAAATACATGCTAAAGGCACCTTTTTGGAGTTAAGATGTAAAGCCCCGAGATGTTCCTAGAATGACAGCGCTGGTTTGAGGTTTTCGACTTCTCAGTGTCGCAGCCCAAGCAGCCCCACCCACTTCACACTTCACTGTCCGAACGAGAAACGGGTGCAATGCCCTAGTTCAGGGGCATCCTTCCTATTCCATCGCCTTCTGATCTACATAAGCTCGAATGATAGGAGCTCAGAACATGGCGCAGTTTGGACTGTGCGGTCACAGCTGGTATAGTGCATCGGGGTCTAGGGCCTCTTTGGCGACATCTTCGTGAAACTTTCTCGCTGCATCCCCGGCGACAAAGCCCTGAAAGAGTTCCCCACCCCGAGAGCCAAGCCACGTACAGCTTGAATCCCCCAAGCTGATCCCGAGAGCCGAAACACCTAACCGTAAATCCTCAAATGGGTGGTTGTCCAAGTTAAGGTCCCTTTTTGGGTACCCTGAATAATAAGCGCCGTATTATATTATATTATATTAGGGATCCAAGAAGGGACCATAATTTTGACAACCACCCAAATACAAACCCCTGAAGCTGTAAACTCGAAACTTAAATCCTACACGACCGTTAACCCCCAAACCCCCCTGAACAAAATCCCCGAGCATGCGGCACTGCCGCGCGTGGCGATGATCCAATCGAAAACACGCTGTTCGAGCCAAGCCTGCTAAGGGTTTGGGGTTCGGCCCTAAACCCTAAACCCTAAACCCTAAGGGTTTTCTTGGGCGAGGCCTAGGATCTGGTCCTCGAAAGCTCGCAACTTTCAATTTCTCGAGTTTCGGGCTGTTGGGTCTAAGTATCCTTGATTTGGGGATGCCTGAACGCCTGCAGGCATCCTTGCAAAACATCTACTATTTGAGGCCTATGCTGAGGATCCCGTGTCCCTTTTTGCATCAGGACTTGCGTGTCCCTAAACCCTACATTCTCTCAAACTACAACTTCTACGCAACTCAATCTTCTTTGCGATGCCATAGCCTAGAGATCAGACTTAAAATCAGGAGACTCCCAACTCCTCATCATCCATCAGGGTCTACTCAGGGTGTAGGCGTAGGGTAGTTTACAGCTTAGGGCCGGGGGTAGTTCAGAGTTTATTGATGTTTAGGTTAGTTTAGGGCTACATCTTGTACAGAACTCTCACCGAACCCTCATACCTTCCATAGAAAGCTGATCTCAGTCAAGCGCCCTCAAGTACAACAGCAAGACCCCCCAGACCCACCTAGACCCTGGATTGCAGAACTTTTTCTGTGGATAAACCGTCTTTATGTTTAGGACCCCAGAAACAGACCAGCACAACGGACTTGTTAAAGGAACTCGTGTAAAGGTCTAGGTGCATTAATTCTCAGGCTCTCTCGTGAGTTCCTGCCGAAGAGAGCAGGCCAAAAAGGTTGGAAGCTCATTGTCCTCATGCCCTGATAAAGCAAGGTATAATACTATCGCAGAGCATCCTTCTCGAAAGCTTTCGGGGCTTAATTTTTTCCCTAGCAGAACAACCCACTTAAGCCCTAAACCCCAAAATCCCCCAAGGACCCACCTAAACCCTAAACCCAAAACTTTCCTCAACCCAAAGACCCAGGGTTTAGACTTCAGGGTTTGCTGAACCCTACACCCTAAACTTTCCCTAAAGAGGGCCTTGGGCACCATCAGTTGAAGTGCCAGCATCGAGATCTGATCGGCCGGGATGGGACAAACCTGGGACTTGAAAGGCTTTTATGGTTGAAAAAAGAAGCGATTGATAGTGTTTTCACCGGATCGGACCATTTTGTGGCATGTTGTAGCATAACTTGCTATTCCGCCCCGATCGATACCCAAACACTTTTACGTCGAGATTCATTCTGTTGCTTCGGCTTCTGCCTCCGCACTGCGATCCTTTTCCACAGTTGCCTTTGGAGCGACTCCCTTCTGCGAACCACTTTGGGTCTGCAGGTCATTCTACTACTCCACGATCGTCAACCCCAACACTCTAGGCCCTCAATCCACAAGTCTGGCAGCTCTAAATCTTCAGGTGCTCATGCTGCATGAAGCTACTGCCTAGATTCCTAGATTCCGGCATATGACTCTATCTGCTGCTTCACAATGTCATGAGAATTAACAATGTCAGTATAACCATTTTGTTTCTGCTGCACCTTGCTATGTATTGGTTTACTGCGCCACTGCGGACCCCAAGCTTTGTCTTCATGTAGGCTCTGCCAACTTGAAAGTGCCCTCTGCATCGAAGAGAAGGAAGGATGGCTTCACCTGCTCCTGGGCAATCAGAACATGGCATCCTCAAGATCGACACTAGCAGTAACTAGCAAGCAGGTGTAGATGTTATGAAAATAGCTAACTTCTTAAAGTACCCCTCATCACACATAGACATAGAAAATCCTAAATACCCGGCATGGTAGGGGCAGCGACATGAATTCTCTAATTTCTGGCTCACCGAGACTCAGAAGCCCGGACGGTTGGATGGGGTGGGGCGTGGGGTGCTGCCTGCGGGGTTGCTCCGCCCGGAAAACCGTTAAACACAAACCCTGCTATGGTGAATTGGGGATGGGTGTGGTCGGGGGTGTGGTGGGCTGCCGCTGGCCAGCTTTCACCATGTTGTGTGTGCAGGAAAAGTGTCATCGTTGAAACCTTCGTGTTTACGGCTTAGGTACGCTCAGAGCTTGGAAGGCCACTTTAACATTGGCTTGCAACAAAAGGCAAACAGGCCCTTAAACAGGCTTAGGATTCCTTGCAGCTGGGCATCGTCGACAAGCATCACGGCGCCCATGTTGTCGAAATCGACGCTGACGTGGCTCATGAGGGACACCATCGCTGTGCCACTGAAATACCTGACTTTGTGGGAGTCTCTTTCATGTTGTGGTCTACTGAAAAAATATCCTGCCCAGCACTTCAACACAAAGACTCGAACGACAACATCCCAGGAGACCCCCGGCAGGTTCCCTTAAACGAAGAGCTGCAGCCCTTAAGTATCTAGGTATTGGCTAGGTGCGTTTGAGGCTTGAGCCCTTCCTGGCATTCCCCGCTGTCACTGCAAGTCTAAACCCCTTCAACATGGACTGAGGTGCCGGCTAGCGCCCATGCAACTCTCACCCCTTAAGCTGTAAACCTGAAGATAATAATAATACAAGGATTTCTCGTTCCCCAAGGCCACCTCCTGCTGTAGTGTAGTCTAACACCAAATCCACTAGCTCCCATCCATATATATATATATATATATATATATATATGTATCAATATTTATATGTATACATACATTCATACATACATATCATGAAAAAATACAGACATATATGCACCACCACAATCCTCCTCTTAAAACATAGTGAACGCAAGCGGGGATCCTACATTCCCGACTTCGAACGAGGGGCTCGTAGCCTTGCTCCGTCGTCCCAGACCGACAGATCCTTTGCATGTCGAAGGTGCCCTACCTGTAGTCTCTATTGCAGATTCCTTTTGGATTGGCCAGCTTTCGATATAGGATCCTAGAAGATGACCCCAAAAAGGAACTAACATGGAGATATGTGGAGACTATTGGTAGATTCCGTCCCCAGTCCCCGAACCCCCAACCCAGAAATTGCACACCATGGGACTTTCGTTGAGGCTGGAATATCACAGCCCTCGACCCCCATTTGGGACTTACGACCTTTGGGTTTAGGGTTCGAAGATGTCTGGCCCTTAATGTTTGAATTTGAGCCACCTGTAAAGCCTTTGAGCAAAAATGACAGTAAATCGATCCCAGCGAAGCTGCCCAATCATTTGGGTTTGATAAAGAACACTTCGAGATGAGACCCTTTTGCAGCGGGCTTGCTTCGTCGCCCTCTCATCTCCCTAAACCCTCAAATCATTCTGACATAATCTGCTCGAAGCGATGCCCAGGCTTCGGGAGGAAAGTCAGCTGCAGCCTACTATGTTTCACAAGGCTCAACACGCTAAGTTGCTTTCGCCAACGGAGCTGTGCAGCTTTCGCACCCATTTTGAAGACCCGAGCTCTGAATCGAATATCTGACCGGCGACACATCTCGAGCTCTTGTCGGGAAGGCAGTTGGGCTTGGGGACAAGAAATCTAGGTTCAAGGATTTATGGCTTACGTGGGGAATACCCATGCCACATGACACAACAGTGCTCTCAGGTAGCCTTGAATCCAGAAGGCTTGGAAGTTTGCGGCTCTCTGGGTTCACATGAAGCTGTAGGCCCAAAAAAGGAAAACAGGAACAGTTCTGCTACCTTGAAGACAGGATTTTGGGCAAGCTGCAGGTCGAGGCCATGTGTCTCCAGGAACGGCGCCACCTGGCTTTTCTCCGCGTCTTCTAGGCCGCTTCGTCCCCAAGCGTTGACCCAGAAACCGAATGATGCCCATGTCAACAGCCTGTAATTCTGGCTGCCCTAAGCCGAATCTGAAACCCCTCGCTCCGAAATCCCTAATTAAAGCGTAAACTCCTAAATCCCTACTCTGAATCCCCCTAATAAAAGCCTATAAACTCCAACATCCCTATTTCACGTCTAAACCCTAAACGGGAAACACGAAGATGATGGCGGAAACCTAGGGATCCATCCACACAGATTGAGACGACGTCGAAGGGCTGAGTTTGCAGGCGTTGGCAAGTTGAGCCGCTTTTCGACCCCCAGTAACCTAGGAATAGAAAGCGCCCTCTTGAATAATTTTATAAGTTTCCGAAAAGAGGGACCCTAATATAGTACCCTAAATAGTAGGTTCCTTCTAAGGACCCCCAAATAAGATACCCCTGATTTTCGGAAACTCCCTTTTATGACTGAGGATCTGAAGACCAGAAAACGTGAACAAAGATCTACTTGGAGACCTAGGCTTTTCATTCTAAGGTTCTGCAAGTTCGTGGTCGGGATTAGCAAGGGGACTTGAAGCTCCCCAGAGAGCCCAAAACCCCTTAATTAAGGAGTATAGCTATAAATCATAATATGAAGCCCTACATAATTTAAGCCATATTCCTTAATTAAGGGGTATTGGGCTCTCTGGGTCCGGGTTTGCGATTGCCTGTAACCCGGCTGTGGCGAGAGACAGGTTGCAGTGGAAGTGAACGGGGAGGATTCTGACAGGGTTGTCAAAAGCTTATGCTCAAACAGCCCCCGAACTACCCAACCTTGCGACCATCCAGGTAGACCCCAAATCCTCCACGCGAAAGGCCCAACTGGCCCAAGTCCTGCAATCCTAGCTAAACCCTAAACCGCACCCCGTATGCGCCTAGATCTGACATCCTGTCCCCAAAATCTATAGACCCCTAAACACTGAACCCCGCAAGCTAGAACCCACAACCCCTGCTTTCCTGTACTTTGACCCGAGTGGCCACATCAACGCCAAAACAATTTCGCATGCGGATTTCATCCACAAAGCCTTTGGCGGGGGCTAGGGTTGAGGGGAGCTATGACTAGGGTGTCTGCCCTCCGGTTGATCGTAAGCCTTAAGGTTGAAGCCTGACAACGTGCAGTTCAACACCGCCTGCAATCTTACAGCTTCCGTCGCGGCTATTTACGAGGTTTACAAGACCAATAGCGGCTCTACCAGGTGCCTGTAAGAGTACATGAAAGGCTTTTGTTGAGCTTAAGGCCTACAAGTGCTGGAAACATCTTGGACAGGACACCCACTACGAGAGGGTAGTACGAATCGAACGTCCAGCTTGCGTCCTGCAAAGCCTGAAACCGAGATCCGGACCCCAACCCTTCACATCTCCACCCAGAAGCCGAAAGCCAATTCACGTGAGCTAAACAAGCTGCCCCCCGAACTCAAAGCTGCTGTGAATTGTTAACGGCTTCTGATTGCTATGCAAGTAACCTTCCTTAGTCAGGAGGTCTTGGGCTCACTGGGAACATCCAGGGTTGGGGATCATCCCACCTACCTTCATCCCACCTTTTTTGAGCCCTTTTTTCAACGTTGCACAGTTGCCGCAAAGCAGCCTTTGACGTCAGGATTGGGCTCCTAAGAGCAGAGGCCGCAGGTTCTGCGATCTCTTTCGGGTTTTAGGGTTTAGGGTTTTGGGTTTTGAGGGTTTTGGTGGTTTTAGGCTTTAGGGTTTTCACGATTTAGGGCTTAGGGTTTATGCATTCCCCGGAAGCCCCGAAACTAACAGAGTTTAGGGTTACTTAACGGTGCGGATTTAATGTTGATGACCGGACAGTCGACAGCAGAACAGATCACAGAGTTCTACACCCTACTCGGTAGGGTCTCTATACTTTCTGTACGGGGGTTCGACATGGAGGGCTTGACTTGGAAGGGGAGTACCGCTCGGGATGTGTCTCGGGTTGACGGTCCCACCGAAGGCGTGCGCTTGCAGGCTGTGAACAGCCTGCGTCCGTTGACGAACATGATGTCATTCGGCGCGCCTGGAAGAGCAAGCCTGCAGGAAATGGGCACGTGGGTCTGCTGAAAACTGGCTGGACATTCCGAAGCAAAAGCACACGCCACATTGCCCTTCGTGTTCAAAAACGGCTTGCACCCGATTCTTGCTTGAGGTAGCGGAAGAGATCTGTGCAACTTGACTGCGTGTTCTGGCACTCCCAGTGCTGCAGCTGTCCACGAACAAGACTTTTCTTCGCCCGCACGGCGCTCCATACCGAGTTGCAGGTGCCGTGGTATGTCAACCACTCCGCGCCTAGCATTTGTAATCGATGTCTAGATCAAGGTTCGACCATAACGACTCCGCCTGACTCGATGCAGCATGGTAGTCGAACACAAA